AGATGTTGACCAAGAGTTACTGAAGTAGCGATGCTTGATTGCGGAGATGACGACAAGATGGAATGTACCGGAGAATGCTGTGGCGCGTGCGGAATTTGTTGTTGTTGATGTTGTTGCTGCTGTTGAGCTGCCTTTGCGCGAGTGAGTGGAATTGATGGCGTACCAGGGACAGGGACCGAGGAACTAGATGTTGGCATATTCAAGCTGTGGCCATAGTTTGCGGACGATTTGCAAGGGGCAAAGGTATAGCAAAGGACGAATGTTCCCCAAAAAGGTTGGTATCGATGTAAACTTGTGGAATCGGTGAAGCGTCGGTGAGCATGGGCGTCAGGGCTGACGTGCCCCGGCCAACACAACTTTTTGATTTCAAGCGCGTCGTGTGCCGGAGGGTTCGTTCGTCTTCTGCAGCTCCTACCAGGATTTATAGCTCTTTTGTGGACGATCTTTGAGCCTTTGTATTCCCCTTTGTTTCCGTTGTTCACCTCGCGATGAATTTTGCTTCAATCTCGCTTCAAGCACCCATCATGATCCATGATCATACTTGGATCGTCTCCGAATAGTCATCTACCGAAGCTGAATGGGCTTCCCTACATTGCCTGTTGCCTGTAATAAGCTGATTTGAATCGGTAGACAGAAAGTGGGGGCTCTTCTGCTGGGTTTTTAGGTTTCAGGTTTTAGCAAAAAGCTGGATCGACCGGCTTTTATTGGCCCGCGCTAGTTGCTTTTCTGATTTATAAGATCGCGCAGCCGGTTTATCGCTGTTTGTAGACAAAACTGCATGACTAAGGCGACGTTAGCAAATGACAAGTTTTCCGGTTAGCGCACAGAAAAGCCAGCTAAGAAGCCAATGCCGCCGGCCGCGTTCCAGCGGTCCTACTCATTTTAGAGGAATCAGGATCATATGTAATAGCTAGCTGTATAGCTATATGTTTGAGTACTTGAATTGACCTGTGTGTTGTCGTGGAGATGGCGTTGTCAGCTGCGTTGTCTACCTGCAAGCGACTGAGGTTTGCGGACACGCGGAATGTGGACGGGTAGTGTACGTCAGCCGACGGAACCTCAGGAAGTCGATACAATGATCGCCAGGTCCGAGAAGCCAGAAGCCAGAAGCCAGAAGCCAGGGACCAGAAACCAGAAACCAGAAACCGAAAACCAGAAACCAGAAGCAAAAGACTTGTATATTGATGCATGCAGGAAAGAAAAAACCCCGTTGAGAAACCAAATTTAGATGGTTTAACCGGTAACAGAATCCCCAGATAGAAAAGAAAAGACATTGTACATAATTGGTCTTCGAGCGTGCGTTTGAAGCTTGTGCGCGCGCACGACCCTACGCCGACGAGGTAGGCTATGGCCGGGCCAGATGTGGAAACAGTTGAGAGAAGAATCTAGTGACACAACGGGTTGTACAGTTCCCGGAGAATCGGTAGGATGATAGAAATGAGGTCGCGAGGCGTATGAGATGTCGAGGTCGTAGTTTCGAGCGTCACAAGACGACAGTCTCGTGTCGATATTCCTTTTCGAACAACTTGTAGGTCCACCTTGAGACACGCCACCCTTTCGCCCTTTTAATCATCGCTATCCGAACAACCCATGCAACGGACGTGGGAAAGAGAAAATGCCATTTTATGATTGTTGATTGTCGACCGGTAGCACTCCCGCTCCCGTTTCGCCAGCGAGCGCGCCTTCAGCTCCTTCAGTTGCAACGTCACCCAAGTTGTGGAAGTCTTCAAGAATCAAAAAGATAGTTAGCTCAACTTTTCGTCGGCCCTCCCTATCAATCTGAACATACCCAGGATTTCACTGTACATCATCACCTTCCAAGTATCGACGGGCAGGTCTGCGTCGTTGAAACTCCAATCGAACTTCTCAGCCGCAGCCGGCTCATCAGTTGGGTCGTGGTACGGTGCCAAGTACTCGTGAGACAGGGCCTCGGTCGCGGTGATACGTGATCGGGGATCGAAGACGAGCATCTTTTCAAGCAGGTCGAGTGCTGTTATGTAAGGCAAGCGCGAGGAGGTAGACGGTCATGGTAAGCAAACCAAGGAAGACCGTAACCACTGTGAATCACGTAAAACATACCAAGCGGGTCGGCGTTGGTAAACTTCTTGGCGAATGGTACTCGCTCTCGCTTTGGCAAACTCTGCACGAATCGCAAAGTCTACAGGTACGCAGGAACACAGAATGTCAGCTTTTGCGAAAATATTATACCAAGCGGGAACGACATACGTTTTCACTAGCGATAGTCTGGATAACATCATCCGGTGGTGTACCCAACAACTCGGTAATGATTGAGAACTGGTTCACATCTAGAAGTCACAAGATGGAAGGATTCCGCTCAGTCAGTCAAATGTTGAGTAAACCCAGCGGTGGGAATGATAACTCACGGTCCTTTCCTGGGAACAAGGGTTTTCCTTCCAACATTTCCGCGAAGATGCATCCCGTGCTCCAGATGTCGACTGTGCAAAAAAGGAAGTGGTAAGCCATACCATTCCGGCTCAGTTTTTGGATTGATCCTGCCCAACGTACCAGCGACATCATACTTTTGCCAAGTCAACATGATCTCTGGTGCTCGGTAGTATCGTGTTGATACGTAACCCGTCATTTGCGGATCCTGGATTCGAGCGAGACCGAAGTCGCAGATCTGGACGAACCAGCAAAGCACGTAAGTAAACGGCGATTCAGTGAAGGCTTGCGACGCCGGCGATGATGACCGGCAACAAGGCAAGACAAACCTTCAGATCACAGTTCTCGTTTACCAAGATGTTACTTGGCTTCAAATCTCGGTGGACGACGCCTGCCGAGTGCACGTATTTCAGACCTCGCTGTGAAAGGAAACAAAGCGAACCGTTTCAGACAAGAAGAAGCTACGCTTCAGGGCCGGCTTGCAACGTACCAATATCTGGTACAAAAAGTACTGGATGAATTGCTTCTCCAGTGGCCGCGAAGTCAATAACCTGTGCAGATCCGTTCCAAGCAGTTCTGTGACAAAGTAGCTGTTGTTGTCGAAAGAACAGACAGTTGGCCTTCCGAAGTACGGGACGCAACGAGGATGTAGTCAGACTTACATGTCTTCGAGAGGCGAGATGAAGATGTCGCTCAACGAGATGATCTGCAAAGCGTAACCAGCAGAATCATTAGCACATCGCATCTCCTCTCCATCCTTTCCTCCCTTTCAAGAACAGTATCGGAATGAACCAGAAACGGAAAACTCACGTTCTCATGCCTCAAATGCTTCAACAACTTCAACTCTCTGTAAGTCCGCTTGCTCAACACAGGTGTGGAGAACGGCTTCATGATTTTCTTGATAGCGACGGCTGTGCCGCCCAACTGATCCTTTGCGGAACAGACGAGACCGAAGGCGCCTATAGGGAATTAAGAGGTGGCAGTTAGCGGTTGTAACTGCTCTAATGTTAAATGGTTCGAGGTGATTCAAGCCCGTCTTTGTACGGATCGGATATTCCTTGGTCCTTCAAATTGAGCCAAGACATGGCTCCATTGTACCGCTTTGGTTGGCGTTGCAAGAGAACGCTCCGATCGTAAGGATCGGAATGTGCCGACAATCAAAGCCAAAAGAGTATTGATCTCGCAGTACATGATGGTTATGGTCATGTTCTGCCTCCCAGCCTCACATCGAGACCAACATTCCACACAACTCGCATGGGGACTTGGGAGAAGATGAGCCGAGCGGTACTTACCCATACCAACGGGCTGAAGGTCAACATATCGGGTGGTTACCTCGAATACCTGGAAGAAAGGACGGGAAATGCATGTTAGCGGTCCGTCTAGGCGCGACAGGTAGAATCAAGCCGCCAAAAGGTATGAATGAGGAGAGAAATGGCCAGACGTACGGTACCGAAGATGGAAAGCTTGACGAAATCAGCCATGACAAGAGTACTATCACTTTTTTCGATTCCAGATGAACGACAGTCGAAGGTGTTTGCGTGGTTGAAATCGGTGACAGTTGTTCGTTTCCGATATCAAATACGGAGCGGTGATCTACGTTTGTGAACTGGTGGATGGCGAGATGTTGACTGCAACGACACCGACGATGATGTGGACAAGAAGTAACAAGAGATAAGAAGCAAAGAAGGTGTATTGAGCGTTGAACAGACTCGGCGCGGGGAACGGTCTGGAGGTAGGCGGCGCTTTTGATTGGGCCGGGAGGAACGGATTGAGCGGTGAGTAGCGCTGTTAGTCTGTTCTGTCCGTTTAACAAAGAAGACAAATGAATCACCAAGTGAGCGCAGGGCGGATAGTCTTTACAACTGGTACAGCACAAGCAAGTGTCCTGTGGTTGGAAAAGAGTGAGAATGGATGGTAGCCTCTGGTGGCGGCGACGGCGCCAGGGGGACACTCACCGCGTTGGGTGGCTGACACCCTCAGAAGCCAGACAAGCCGTGTTGCCTGGCAGGAGCCGCTCAGTAGAATTTTGGGCGCACCAACGGAGGAGCATTTCCAGTTTCCAGTTCGGCCAGTTCCAGCTCCCTCGCTCGTCCGGACGGAGGTGGAGGTATGCGGCGGGCTCTTTTGCACGGGAGCACTGAGGCAGCTACTGAGGCTGTGGTTTCGTAGAAAATGAATCAGCATTTCGGTGCGACAGGTATGAGAATCAACGTTGCGGGTAGCCGTGGGAGATGAGGTGATCTGACGATGAATGCAATGAATGATACTGAAATATGTTTCCCGCCTCTCGGAAGCCCATAGATGTTTTTACAGTGGCAGATTTCCTCCGCTTGGAGCTGCAGCGTTAATGTGCCAACACATGGGGCGCGGTGGGGGTCTGCCTTCGTTGGCTGATTGTAAGTAGGGGGAAGCAAGCTGGGGAGCACGTAGATAAAGTGTTACGAGAAGGAATCAAACTCTACAGGAGGTTTGTGAGAACAGGTCCAGTCTGATGAAATGAGGTTAGGTCCGAGCCTGGAGAGCAAGATTGCAAATCAGATAAACCTGAGGGCACATCACCTATTATGGGACAAAGAGACCGGCCGCCGATATCCCCTTCTCCCTTAGCTCAGTGGTAGAGCGCGACACTAGTATCTTTCTTTGATTCTGGCATGTCGAGGTCAGTCGTTCAAATCGGCTAGGGAGAAATTCTTTTTGGTAACACTCCTGGTGTAGAGAATCCGGGCGCCGAGAATGCGAGATAGCAACATTTTGCTTTGTCAGTTAGCAACTCTTTCACGAGTTAGCAACATTTGTCTCCAGATAGCAACATTTGCTTCAAGAAAGCAACTTTCAGATAGCAACGCCTTTGAGCTGAGCTCAGGTATATATAGCAGAGGGAATGGCAGTGCCTCCTCAAGTTGTTCTTAGATAGTCTCTCACCCTTAGATTGAATACAAGTTATCACAACTCAGCCATTGTCACCTTTTGAGTTAGCTACCCAAGACTCGCGCCTAGTTAGTAGACTTATCGATCGCGCTTGACCTAACAACTTTGTACTGTGATCCCACTCAATGACAACCCAACCAGCTGGACTGGCCTTGTGGTTCTCGACACCTGGTTGCCGATCAACCGCCTGAATGCCTCTTTGCTTTCAAAAACCTGCACTATTGTGAGCTGAGCTGCCTTCTCATCCATCATCCAGACGGACGGTGTCTTGCGACCCCAAGTCATACGTACGACACAAAGGATTCTATTGAAATATTAGAACGAACCCTGTCGTTGAACCGCCGGCCGATTGCCAATCAGAAGCACCCTCCTTCTCCGGGCTCGAGGTCTATTGTAGGGAAACGACTCTTAGCTGTACCATATGATAACGGCTCTCCACGAATCCAACTAATACATGTCATGTTCATTGTAGAGATATCACACCCCCACTGTATGAACACCTCAGTGCGCAGTGATCAATCAGTGCGGCGGCGAACAGCGCACTGTTGTAACATCCCATACGCTTTCCCTCTGACTGTTGTAACACCGTGTAGCTTTGTTCCAGCTACTACTAGATAACCGGATAACTATATAAGAAGTAGGAAATCTTTGCCACTCTCTGTAATAATATATAGTTATGCCACGCAATATTGGATCAAGTTAACAATACAACACTTTCAGTAATATCATAAGGAAGTCGCGAGCCTTACGTCATCTCATACAAAGTAGATATTGTTAGGCAAGTCGCTAAGACAGGTGAGTATTACATAACCACTGCGTAGCTCCGAGACGCTGGGACTAGTTAAGTAGACTTTGTTACTTAAAGAATAAAGCTAAGACTTATACAACTTATATTAAACTGTAAGTTGCAGTCAGCTTAAGCTTAGTAGCATCGGCACTTAACATTCAGATACAATAGCTTCGAGTCCTTCGACATAATAATCCAACAAACAGCTTGACTGCAACCGTCGCTCACCAGATGGGCCTCAGCACTAGCACCTCAGCAATCGCTGCACCTCGGCGCCTGCTCATCATCGGATGATCTCCAACTAGTGACCCTCACCCGCTGACCATTAACAGCTGAGCCCCAGCAGACATGGGATGCGCCTCAGCAGCTGAGGGCCAGCTTCTATGACGAAGGCAGCAGCCGGGCAACTATAAAAAGAAAGCTACTTGGCTATCACTTGTAAGTTGTAACTTGGATAGAATATGACTCACGCAATATTGGATCAAGTGTTTGATGCTATACTTTCAATATTGAAGAACAAGGACCCGCGACCCTTACGTCATCAGATACAAGTATCATCGACTGGCTATAGTGGCTAAGACAGGTGAGTATTACATACCAACTGTGTAGCTCCGAGCCATTGGAAGGTTATAGTGGACAAGTATACAATATCTTCAAGCATTGACTTACGATACTCGTATCGAAGAGAACGAATGTAAGGCAGCTTAGGAAAAGTAACTTGACTCTCAACACCTGTATTACCAAAAATCAGATAGCTCAGCCGTTGTAAAAGGAACTAGCACAAACGATGCACACTTACTGCCTTAATGTAATCTTGAATACCTTGATGGAAGCCCAGGATACTGATCCTGAGGAGAAATGCACTCGAAGGTAGCTTCGTAGTTGAGAGGAAAACAAAGGGTGAACCATAAAGCATGAAGGACTATTACAAAAGGGCAAAATGCTAGGTATATATACTTATCCTGGGAGGATGTCGAATCAAAGGAAGAAAGGTCGTTTAACGGCAAGTGAAGCTTTTGAAGTGTGAAGGCTGCAGCAATGGCAGTCGCTGCTGTTGCTGCATTTGTCGCAGTTGGTGCAGTTGCTGCACTTGTCGCAGTCGCTGCAGTTGTTGCACCTGCTGCACTTGCTGCACTTCTGCATTTGCTGAAGCTGCATCAAGCATAGCCTCACAAGCAAGGGCGGTGAGCGAGAGTGTAGGTCCAGAAGAGGGCCATTGTTAGCTCCCTACACTTCTGTTGATGATAGTGAGCGAAACTTCTGATGCTTTCTCATACTGAACTACAGCGTTGACAAGGAATTGACAGATAATGAAACATGACCTGCAGCAAGATGGGAATCGAGACGCTATCTATTTGGAACTATTTGCAAACACCGTGAAGTGCTCTTCTTATCCTATTCTTGAATCGTCTTTGCAGCGTCGTTCGCGTCATGCAAGGGCCTTACCCTTTTAGCTATGCTGACACCTCACATGGACTATAGGATACTAGCCTTTCACATCTCGACTTTATTAGTCGAAACTGTTCGATTCTTGGACACAGCGATCTTTTTGTATCACATATCTTGTTGGACAATGTGTGGTCGCAGGGCAACAGAAGCCGAATTTCTAATTACACCTTAATTAGACAATCTCGCAATTGGATCATTTAGAACTGAACGTGCTGTTGATGGAATACTCCCTCAGCATAAGCAGTGCCACTAAAGAACACAACTAGATGAGGCATGTCCGTACGTGGTGGTACCAAGTCAGCTATTTTCACCTCGTTCCGGGAAGGCGAGCTATGACGCTGAATCCATTTCCCTCCGACTCAAGAGGGCAACTCAAGATATGCGATAACCGCCACCAAGCTCACTCAAAAGTGTCAAAGTGGACTGTGTACGCTGAAACATATTTCTGCAAAGGTTTTCCATCGTCTTTTGTAAACTATTTCTGGGTTGCAGAGTGTTAGTCTCCTCCTTTGTGGCCGTCCCCTTGCCAAGGGAAAACAGGCCTTGCTCAGGACCAGGGAAGGGGCCCATAGAAGGACGGTTTCATGTCAAGGTCAATTTTCCTACTCCTCCTCTGGTGCTCGCAGCGGCACATATATGGTCACGGAAGGCATATTAACCATCAGCCTGATGCCGCAAATGCCCAAGTCATTTTGCCTCTTTGTTGTACCATCGTTTTCGCCATACCAGCCCGTACGAATGTATGGAAACAAACAATCCACTACACTCGTTGCGTTCTTCAAGATCTGAGATCACCAGTCTTTTCTTTCGCTTTTGTCGAATCATACTTCTCCGCACTTCGGCATCTAGATATAGCGTTGGTGGATCTTTCATGTTTTCTACCAGATCGATAGAGCTGTCGGTACATAGACTGAGCTTTTGAAAGCAGACAATAGGTCAGGAAAGCTCGATCGGAAAATTGTATAGTCTCGTCATTCTGGTGTTCAAACACCGCAGAAATAACAATGTCCACCAGTCACCGGATAAGGAGGCTACCAAGGAGATAATTATCCGGAAAGCTTTACAAAAGCAAAATGACAAGGACAAGAAGACGGTCAGCGCAGCGATGGAAGACGCAAATCAGGTGGAACAGGCAAACTACGTAGAACTAGACGGTATCCCATCCCTGAAGGTGGTTATAGTAACGAAAACTGCTATATTGGAAGAACCCGGTGTTGAGTGCCGACGGGACTCCTACACGCGCTAATTCGACTTGTAGAATATTGATATTAATAATCAAATATCACAAGTCCGAAAAAGTAGCAACTTGTATTTTTAGAGGGCCGCAGCAGACAACTAGCTTTCCTGGATACTACACAGTTGTTATGTAATACTCACCTGTCTTGTTGACTGCCAAAGATAACCAGCTAACTCTAACTGAAAAGGGTAGCTAATCCTAAGTCGAAGTTGAAAGGTAGTAATAGTAAATCTTGATCTAATTTGCGTAAGTCATAAGTCTAGTGGCGAGTACAAGTCACAGCCAGAAGGCCGGTTTATATAGATGTTTTGTGCCTAAGGTAAAGGCATTTGCCACAACTAGTATTCTACAGGAACAGTCATAGTATTGACGATTGCTCTGCCAACTGTTGTGCAACGGTTGCCAAAGTGTGCGCAATTGTTGCCAAAGTGTGCGCAATTGTTGCCAAAGGTTGGTCAATTGTTGCCAAAGGTTGGTCAATCGTTGCCAAAGGTTGATCAATTATTGCCGAACATTGATCAATTATCGCGCCGAGATATTGTACAACAGGCGGCTTCGTGAGAAAATAACTTGGCGGAAGAAACAGAATTAAAGCGCGTCCAGAATAGCGCGATTCCTAACACCCGGCGGATTACAACACAGCACACTTCGTACTTGCTGTTGGGAAAGGCATGCGAGTATCTGACGTCTGGCATCCAACTGATACGCCAAGTCCGGTGAAAAAACAGGCAGTTATGATGATTAATGAGTGGACGTTAATGGGGCAGCGGTTCGACCAGAGTCAGGTATGGGAAAAAACGAACCCCACAAATTGCACGACAAGGCTCGTTAATCAGAATTGGTCGGACAGGCTTACTATGGTACGCACTGTAATGATAGCGAAGTATGGGCGTCGAAGTATGGATAGATCGCTTACGGCAGCTAGTGAGCCATCGTAGGGGTATAACGACTACAATTCCTAGTGTAATCGGCATGTCGAACGAACACCTACGACGGTCGAGCGATTCGACAATGTAGTATGAGGGGAACGTATAAATCCGATGGCTTGCAAGGGACGATCAGTTCAAAACTCGCCATAACCCAACAAAAACAGACGGGGAAAATTCATGCAGCGGGAAATTAATGTACTAAAGGAAACATGGTGTTTCAACAAACCTCGGTTCCGCGCCCCGCTTACGTCAGCGGCTTCCGTGAACCCTCATAGCTGAGACCTTGAGAGACAATAGCATCCAGCTGAAAGCGGCTTACTAGGTTTTTATATTCCCTTTGTACTTCAACAACGAGCGCTGTTCTATAAGATTTCCATCGCCTGCCAGTTTCGCATTCCTCTCGCATACTCTGACAGCTCAAGCCACTCCTTTCTAGATCTTTCCTGCTCCTTAGGCTCCTATACTTCCCATCTTCTTCATTTCCACCTCTTCCATTGGCACTTTACATACACCTCTTCCCATGCTACCTTCATTCTCCTCTTCTTGCAAACATCGCCTTCATCTTGCGCTTCATTAAACTGGGCTGCGCATCAAAAGTTCAGAAGCTGGCCTGCGCATTAACAATTCAGAAACCATGCAAAGATACAGTACTGCCCTTCGCACTGATTCAGGACTGATTTCGGTCTATAAGAAACCCGCTCATGCGTCGGGAATCCAGACAAAGGATGAAGGGTCTATTTAGTGCATAAAATAAGTCCAATACAGCTATCGCAGATAATACACGTCTACCGACTGATCGGGATCGGGCGTAAAGCAAGTTCACACTGGAACTCTGCGCTCTGAAACACGCCTGTTCCTTTAAGTGCACTTCACATGCACGAATTCCCCCTGTCCAATGTCTGAACTGAAGGGACTACGGGTCGAAGGTTACATCACGTAGCAGGATAGGAATTTTTGAGCTTATGAGACTACAACGACGACAAGATGAGGGGTATGAGAGGTCCACTATGAGATATAGAAGCTACATGGACGGGTGGTGTCATGCCTACAGCATGACCTCGACGACTCGCCACGCTGTCGCTCGCCATTCGTCCGGAGGCAGACTTCGCCAGGAGGCAAAGTAGGCACTAGGCGCTCGGCCCCAAATATCTAGAGATTGAGAGACAAGGTTAGGAAGGTTGGGGATCGAGAGCTTGGTTGAAGAAAGGATAAAGGGGGGACAGAATGGAACGGTTGGGATGAATCCCATGTATTGTAGCTCAGAGCGAATATTGCTAGTCTCAAGGTTGTCATCCGGATTACCATACTGCTACCAGATACAACTCTCCAATCCGGCCTTATCAAATCCAATCTAGTTCCATCGTCGTCAGTCTCTGCCTAGCAGTCCTGACAGGTGGTGCGCCCAAACCCTTAATGGTCTGCCGCGCACCGCTCATCCGCTCTCTGCCAGCTGCCCAAATTGCCCAAAGCTGCTCGAAACCCACCCCTATTACGAAACGGGCCACAAACTCGTGTTTTACAAGCACATACACATGTCCCAACGTTGACTGGGGAAATGGCGCAGTGGTAGCGCGTCGAGTTTGCAACACCTTGTCTTCAGGCACACCTGTATAAACTCTCGAAGGACCAGGGTTCAATCCCCTGTTTCTCCACTTTTTTTGCTCTTTTGTGGTTCGTCAGGTATCTTTGTGCTTAGTCGATTCCAAGGTTGTAGTTGTTGTCTGAAGCTAACACACAATCTGACCGATCGCGTATTTGGCCCCGTGGCTCTTGCCTGTGACCTCGTTCATTCGTGTATATCTTTGACCGTTGGTGAAGGTTTTCAATCTGGCGGGTACTCGCTGAACGTTGTCATCAGTAGCTGAACATAGCAAGATGGATTGGAAACCTATGCCTTGCTGTCACTGTGTCATTTTCTGTCATCTCGGAACGAAATGGCATGAATATTTGTATATTCAGGCGTACTTGAGGAATTTTGGGCACACTTGGTCTTGCCACCCGTTTTCAACGTCTGATCAAGACATCGAGAGGAATTATAAGTTTCGCCACTGACCAAGAGCCATGGTAGTCCTGACTATGATGCTGAATAATGTGTTTAGAATCGCTCATACGAGTGATCTATAGCTTGTATTCAGTAAATCTGCCTTTTACCATAATCGGTACACAACACAGTCATATCGATTTACCGTAATTCTTAATGAACTTTATACGTGTCGCGGGCCAGTAGTTAGTGTTACGTAATATACGTAATACAAGTACCGCCGTTGTAACTGGATCCTAGCACAAGTTATACAATAGCTTATTACGTAAGACGGAGCTGATACTTACCGGAGGTGGACGACGAAGGGTAGCTAATCCTGAGAAAGTCTTGCACTCAAGGTAGCTTCGTGATTAAAAGGTAATGAAAGGGTGATTCATAATCATGTATCTGCTCGAAGGATGAACCTCGAATAGACAGCCATATATACGTGTTTGGGTTGTACGAAGATCCTAGGGCGAGAAGCGTCCCTAGGGCAGATGAACTATCTGAACTATCTTAACTATCTGAACTATCTGAACTAGCTGAACTAGCTGAACTAGATGAACTAGCAGAACTAACTGAGCTAGCTGAACTAAGTGAACTAGCTGAACTAACTGAACAGTGGAGGAGAGTCGCGTGAGGCAATCTTTAACGAAGAAGGCTGTCTCTCTACAATACGAAGACCTACTAATAATCAGCATGAATCGTGATAGGCACATCATAAAAGGGAAATCCTCATGCAAACCAAATGCCACGGAGGGGCTCCATTCGATATGATAACGAGTTGTAATGTATTCTGCTTTCAAGGACCGATCGAGTTTAAATTTCCACCCGTACTGGTAGATTGGTGAAAGACAAGCAATAACCAAAATTGTCGCGGGCCAGTAATCAGTGTTACGTAATATACGTACCACGGTACCGCCGTTGTAATTGGGATCCTAGCACAAGTTATCAAATGGCTTATTACGTAAGACGGAACTGCTATTTACCTAAGGTGAGAGACAAGGGTAGCTAATCCTTGAGAGGTCTTGCACTCAAGGTAGCTTCGGAATTAAGAGGTAATCAAAGGGTGATTCATAAAGCATGAGAGCTATTACAAAAGGGGCAAAGTGTCAGCTATATATATACTTATCTAGAATGCGTAGCTGTCCAAGGGAGGCTAAGTGTCCCAAGGGCAGGTGAAGTAACTGAAGCAGGTGAAGTGAAGTCCCGAAGTGAAGTGGCGAAGTGAAGTGGCGAGGCGGTAGAGTAACTGAAGTGAAGTACTGAAGTAAGTGAAGTAACTGAAGTAGCCGAAGTCAACTGAGAGTTGGGCATGGAGATGACTGGACAGGGCGGAGGAGAGTCTTATGTAACAGCAAGTATGTCATCTGGCTGTGTACTAAACTACATGTCTCTACAGCGACTATAGTATCGTAGAATATAACTACAACAACGAAATATCGCGAAATAGATCACTATGGATGACGGCTCTACCTTGATTCCTTAGTATGGTATAAAATAGCGAAGGACGGTTGCTGGGATATAAGGCTGGTAGGTCAATCGTGAATTCAATAAATCACGGTGGCGAAACTATTACAACTGGATGAGCTTCTATATATATTATTTATATTGCATTTGCCACCATGGCAAATGACTCTTTCCCAAAGGCCTTGAGGACGCGCTTAGGGTTGCACAGTACAATAGCACAGTCCATCTGCACACTGCATTTGCACGATCGCGTCTGTGCGACTTGTACCGAAGGCGCAACCTACAGACAGAATCTCTGAGGAAAGAGGTATGGCAACTTGTGCGAGTCGTGCCCACTTGTGGCACCGCTTCCGCAAGTAGAGAATGTCATTGTATCAACTTTATAGGCCTAAATAGTACAATGGCGAGATCAACTGTAAGTACTTCGCATTTGACCCTTGTCCGTCCTCTTGGCTTATTCGAACTTGTTCAATAATTATACAGTTTGCCACCACTTGTAGTAGTTGAGAAAGGATTAATTTCTGGTTGTGGGTTATGGGTTCGAGTTTCGTAGTTGGTTAGTACTTTTGTTATTCTGCCACTTTTGCTGAAAATAGCGAAGTGACATAGTTTTCTATGTCATTTTGTCACTTTGTCACTTTGTGCCATTTATGGAACGAAGTGATAAAGCTAGGTTGTAAGCCAAGGTCTCCTTAGGAGCCCTTGCGCAGGGTTGGCCTCGCCACCCAGTTCTGACGTCTATATAAGACAGGTTATTTTGTAGTAAGTTTTGCCACAATGAATTATGAAACACGCTTTTCCTCCCTAACTCTCCAAGAAGCGCCTTCTTGACTGTACCAACTAGAACTTTAGATAATACCTTTAGATTAGCTCAAAGTAGCGATCTTATATGTTATCTAGTAAGTTAGCCGTTTACATTTATTAGACATCAATAATCGTGAAGCATAATCCTTTCTGACTGATCCCACTTTAGACCTTATACTGTCTTTAGTTAGTATAATATCATCTTTATACTATCTAAATACAACGCTACGTAGGCTCTTTACAGATGCCAGCCGACTACGGACTTATCGGACATCCGTCTCAGCCGACAATGCATGTCAGCTGATGACACGATGTCAGCTGATGCTACTTCATGCTGACTAATGTCATTCATGACATCCATCCCCTTGACATACTTGTCAATTATTCAACTTCTGCTAGGATCCAGTTACAAGGGCGGTATAGTCATACGTATATTACGTACTATTAAGTACTGGTCCGCGATAGTGGTCCGCTTCAGTTCAGTTCAGTTCAGTTCAGTTCAGTTCAGTTCAGTTCAGTTCAGTTCAGTTCAGTTCAGTTCAGTTCAGTTCAGTTTAGTTCAGATCCCTCAGCCAGTGCACCTGCCCCTGAGACGTTTTTCGCTCCAAGGATCTCCATACAAACCAGACCCGTATACATAGTTGCGTATCCAAGAATTACCTCTCGAGCAGTCATACGACTACAATTGACCCCACGATAATGTTAAGCGCTGGGCTAACTCAACTTAAAAGGTTGAGTTACCCAACTTGTCAAAGACAAAGGTTCATTTCCCGGACTTGACAAAGATATTTCTTCCTCGGAAGCACGCAGTTGTGATGTAATAGTCACCTGTCTAAAAGAGACCAATACCTTAACTGTTGAACTTGTAATTGAACTTGTAGGTCAGCGACGCCTTGTAGTTGGATACAAAGTTAGAACAGTTGTTATCGAAGTAGTATGCGTCCCCCTTCAAAGGTCATGACAGGTAGTCAGATGAGCTTGAAGTTGGACTATCTTATATAGACATATTTTGCCACCGTTTTACAACTGAGGTCCCTGAGGCTCCTTGGGACTGCTACATGTCTTGACCTAGTCAAATTACCTTTTGCCTTCAGACATCCGGCGTCTAGCGTCTAGCGTCCGATGTCCGCCACCTGGCGTTTGGCGTCTTACGTCTGACGTCTGACGTCTGACGTCCGACGTTTGGGGATTTGTCGGCAGGGGTGCGTCATCTATCGACTATCTGTGTGTACCGTGAGTTAAGTTACACACGATAGTTGCTCAGCCGGCTGGTTGGCTGGCCACGTCACGTGCAGCGGAAGTCTGGCTGCCTCGACAGCAGTTTGGCAGGGAAATGATGACGAGGCAATAGTGCGATCAAGTCGAGGGCCCGCACCTCGAATTCCTTCAGTTCTGGCCTAATGGCGTCTGTGGATAACCTCAACCTCGTTTTTCTTTCGACCGCCGCATTGAGCTGGCAGTCTGCTTCAAGTGAAGTTACCAGTTGGGATATTGTTAGTGTCGCGAGCAAGTGATCTATACTACGACGGTAGTTAGCACTGCCGTTGTTAATGGAACTAGCACAACGATGTACATTCACTACTTGAAGCACTACTTGTATACTTTGGGTGAAAGACGAGGGTAGCTAGTCCTGAGAAGTCTTACACTCAATAAAGAGGAGAAAAAGGGTAAAATGCAAAAGTACGTACACGGCCCCCTTTTGGTATGGTATATCATCCGGTTGATCCTACACTTTCCCCGAACCATTACACATCTTCCCTCATACTCGATAATGAGGTTAGTCCTGTGTAACTAGTGGTCGGTGTGGTCCGTCTTGTTGCTCTTGCCATCTTATTTCCAGCTATCATAATCAGAAACTCCAAACCACAACACTTTCAATGGGTCAGCTTAGATCTCATACTCTCCACTTATGATCGATGATATATAACACTACACCCGTTTACCTGCGCCACTGTAGCGATGAAGTCTTCCGCGAGCCCCACCAAGCTACGACTGTACCCGAAGTTACTCATTTCATCAGATAGAAGCCAAGTTGACGAGCCAGTAGGTCTTGAATAGAGAAACAAGCAACACCTCTCAGTGAGATGAACTTCGGACGCGCGCCATGAATGCCAGCGAAAACGTCACATGGAATAATCTAGCGCAAGAAGGGCGGATACGAAACAAAGTGCTATAGTACAGAGGGAATCGAGAGCATATAAGGAACACGAAGGTCCCATAGGCGATCCCTGTCTTCTGACAACCTTCATAGCAAAGCAGATGGCATGATTACGCTCGTGCGGTTCTTCTAGAAACGTAGGGTCCTGTTGCAGAATCCCTTCGTCTACCCAACACGCCCGCTTTCACCCCGAACAGGAA